ACTAATGAAACAAAGAAAGAAAAACAAAATATGTTTGAGTGCCAAGCTAACAATTCGAGGACATACTGTACATAGATAAAAAACGAACCAAAAACAAACACAAATAAGTTTTAAAAATACACTCAAAAAATAGGCGTGACTTTTGGTAAAATCAGGTAAACAAGTTTCGAAAATTTGCAAAGTATTTTCAAAAATATTTCTAAAAAATTCGAGTAACTAATTTCCTGATTGCACCGAAAATCACACAAACAATACAGAATTTAAGAAGAAGAAAAAGCAGTCAATTGGAAAATTTCATTTTTGACTTGAAACTACTTAAAAAGAAAAGAACACAGCAAGCAAAACTTTTAACCAAGTCTAAAGTCTAAAGTAGGGCTAAAACAGGAGACAAACATAGAACCAATTTTTAATGAATATTAAAGCCCCCTCCCAAAAAAAAATATCCCTTTCAAAATGTACATTTCCCAACACCCAACACACACACAAACAAAAACACAACGTACACACTTTTTGATACGCTAAAGTCAAGTTAAAGAAAATATGATATCTATACACTTATATATAGTAATTATATGAAGAAAACAAATAGCAGGACATTGGAAACCTAAAAGAAAGCTTCAAAAGTTGTCAACAATTTTTTTCGGTATAAGCTCAAGACACGTACACGTACTCACACAGAGAAAGGAACTCACACATATACAGAGAGGCGAGCGAGCGGAAGTGAAAGTGAAAGCGGAAGTGAAGCTGGAAAATTTAGGCTAAACCAGGAAAAGCGAGGAAAATTGTTAATACTACGTACATATAGCTTGTGGGGCTTATTTTATATTTGCCGAACAAGAAAGTGGGGGAAAAGCTGATCAATTTATTGGAAATTAGCGTGCGAAGAAGAAGATCACAGGAGAAAACAAAAACACAAAGCAAAAAAAGAAAACGTCAGAAAAAAGGTAAAGAGGAAAGAGAGAAAAAACAACACTGTAGTGCCTACTCCCCTTTAAACAAAACAAAACAAAAAACAGAATAAAAATAAAATAAAAATCGAAAACCAAAAAAAAATATATATATACAATACATATATACATTATACATACTAAAGTAATATTTTATAAAAACGCGCAGAGCAAAAAGGTAAAAAAAACACAAAAAACAAAAAACGGAAGTCAAAAATGGAAATTGCAGTTTTTTTGATAGTTATTTTTTTAGCGAGCAATGGGAGGCATTGAGATCTATATATACATACATATATATATAACTAAATATACATACACACCTATACATTAGTATATCTCACACACACAGACAACCACACCTACATTTATACAAAAGAAAAGTACTTACGGCATGTAAAAAACAGAACTTAGTTTCTAACAAAAGATGAAGAAAAAATAAGGAAAACTATTAGAAAACTGCAAGGAAAATTTGCGAATTTTAGGCAGTTAGCTATACTACACACACACACACACTCAACCAAATCGAGAAACAAAGTAGAAACAACAACAAAGTAGTTTTGCATATCCCCAAAAAAGAGAGAAAATAAAAGGTTTGGAACGATCAGAAATGGAAGAAGGAAAAGCCACAAAAAACGAAATACGAAAAACACAACCACACAAGAAACCAATTTATCAAGAAATTAAACTAGTTTTTAGTAATGAAAGAGAATAATACTATTTTCACTGAAGGAAAACACCACAAAAACAATGTAAACATATTTAATAAATTTAAAAAGCCCAAAAGGAAAAAGAAAAACCATATTTTCGAAATAAGCTAAAAAACGAATGAAACACACATTTTTAACCTTCCTCAATAAGTTCTCAAGCAAATGAGAAAGCAAAAAGGCCGAATAATTATTTATATTTCCAGTGTAGTTGTTTTCGTTCCAATTGATCTTGAATTCGGAATTCAAGCCAAGCATCCAAAATAATTATATCAAATATAATACAAAATACAAAATAGCAGCATACACACGACAAGTGGGAAAATGGAAAATGAAAAATGGGTAGCAAATTAATAGTTTTAGTAAACGATGGTTGAGAACATTTTTGTAAGTTCCCTATTGAGGCTCATTCATAAATAATTTTACAAATATTTTTTAAACACCTATTATTTGTTTGTTTTTAAACGTTTTTTAAATATTTTCTCCTAAGTTATCGAACCTAAATCAATAAAAGCGAGGGAAAACAGCTCGGATTCAGGGGATTTTCATCCGAAAGAATATGGAATTTAAGAGCTGTTCTCCCCAATGCGACGGAACTGCCTAGCAAGAGGGTTAATAAACAGAGTAAGGCGGTTTAAAAACCACACAAAACAAAAAACAAAATATATAAAATACTTGAAATTCACAACAAACCGAAATCCGAAGAAAACGTTTTAACAGTAAACAATAACCGAAATAAGAGGATGAACAAATAGCTGCAATACGTTATGATTACGTCAATATGTTCCTACAATATAGACATACAAGATACATAAATAATTTATATAAATATATATTCTTAACTAACTGTAAACTGTAAGCACACACCAGAAACACACAGAAAACCAACAAAAAAAGCTAAGAGAATGCGATGAAAGAATTATACAATAATTAATTTAAGGCCGCGGCCGAAAAATTCACTAAGAGCAGCAGCAGCGACTAACTAAACTAAAACTAAACCCTAAATAAAAAATACAAGATACAAAATAATCACCTGCTTAAGTTTTATTAAACATTTAACATTTTTCATTAACCTTTTAACCTTATCCTAAGTTAAGCGATTTCCCATTATTTATTGAGCGAGCTTAAACTTAAAACGACTCTAAAATAATGCAAATTATATATACACACATATATAGAACTATAAACTGCAATTTAAGTTCCAATCGATACTATTTAGTTTTCATTTATTTTTTTTTATCTAATTCGAATTAAGATTTTGATATTTTGTGGCTAATAAAAAGCAAATGAAAGAAACCAACAAAAGCGAAATAAAAATAAAAATAAAAAACCATTTCACTCTCATGTACATTCCTTATCGTTTTACACACACACTCACATCCAGCACCCATACCAACACACCCGAGCTGGAACTATATATGTAGTTCTATAAGGTACTTTGTACTCTATATGCCAGAGAGCTTGAGGGGAACTCAACAGATATATATGGAAAATACCCAAAAAAAAAAAACAAATAATTATTATTACTAAAACAAAAAAGGGAAGGTTAAAAATATACGCTAACTATATATTTTTTTCGTAGTCGAAACGAGTACTAAAAAACCAAAAGCACTGAGCAAACATAATTACTTACAAGAACTCTCCACTCAATTTTCGACTCGGCTCATTTTTCGAGTTGACCCAAATGCTGAATAATAACTAAAGTAAACTCGAGAACTAAAAACTAAAGAGAGCAGCTTATCAGGCACCAAACAAAAAATAAGCAAGATATAAGGAAACAAATAAAACAAATAGAAGCAATCAAGAAAAATATTTTAGAACCAAATGGAATTCAATTACTTACACACAGTCAAACCGAAAAAAACATATTTTAGGCAAACCAAAAGCAAAACCAAAAAAACCCACATTCACACCCAGAACAACAAATTTATATGAAAATTATTACAAACATAAATGAAGAAGGGGAAAGTAAGAAAAATATTTAAGCAAAGCAAGGCATATCATAGTTTATAACAAAAAACCGAAACACAAATATGAAGATTGCTAAAACAAGACAAAAAAAAACAGCCAGAGAAGAAGATTTCCAGAGAAGGGCCTCCAAAGCAGATTTGATTTCTATCCGAACCCGAATCCGAACCCAAAATTCCCCCCAAAAACCCCAAAGATCGAAAAAGGAGGATGGCTAACGAGAGGGAATCAAGACAGCAAGCTAAAACTAGAGGGAAAAACTAAAGAAAATGAAAATGAAAGTAATCACATGCAGAACATGAAAACCTATAGGATCAGCAGGAGGATCAGTCATATATAGCTAGCTATATAGTCTATAGTCTATGCCTAAAAACATTTCAAGTAGTCGGTCGAGCGAACGAAGAGATATCTTATAAAGAGAACCCGAAAACGAACCCAAGAACCCAAGAACTTGTTCACACACGCGACACTCACACACTCTTACAGACAAATACAAGCAGAGTAAAGAATGAAACAAAAAGAATGAAAGAAACGCAAGTCGAGAAGCAAACAAAAAAGAGACGAAGAAAATGAAATAAAATTCTAAATAAATAAAAATATTAAAAAATATTTGCCGCATCTCGAGTTTTAATTAACGAACGTGGCTTTGCCATGGAAAAGTCTAAATAATATAAAGATATTATTTTATATTTTTTTCCAGCTTTAAAGGTATTTTATTTACCATTTTTTGAGGGACATTTTTCGGCCATTTAAATTGTTTTTCATTTTAATAAGAGAATCTTAAGATTATTATATAAAAAGTGTCTTTGTTAAATTCAAAATCCATTTGCTAATCTCATTGAACACTGTGTTTTGAATTCCCAGTCTCGAGAATTCTATTCTAGTCCTAAGTAATCTTTTGTTCCCAAATGAACTCATGACCGAACATAAATATGTAAGTATATTTACCCACTACTCCAGCTGCTTCTTCTCCTTCTATCGACTATCTATCGACTTATCGTTTCGACTCTTCCGTACTTTCATTTGCCAAATCTGCCAGTTAGTTTCGACCACATCTAGATGTCTTTTTGTGTGGCTTTTAAGTGTTTGCTTGCCTTGTATTCAGTTGCCTTGCATGAGTTGGAAATGTAGCAACGACCCCCGAACCTTGAATACGAAACCCCAACCCGACCCCTCCCCCAGGAAATAGATTTCGATTCCCCGAAGACAAGACAAGCAGTCTAGCAGCCCCCCACTCACCTCAATTTAGAACTAAGGAATACTTTATTTTTTGAGCCCCGATCTCTGACCCCCAAAAAGAAAGCAGAACAGAGGCCCTGCACTCCATACACCGATTGTAGTGCCAGAACCCGACTGAATATCCACTTTTCTGAACCCACAGCTGCTCCGCAACTTCGGCTCCCCGATGAGCGCGATGGCCGCCAGTCGCTGCCCAACCCCCTTCGCCTTCCCCTTCTCGCCACTCGGCCTGAGCCTCTTCGACATCGATCCGTCCAGAATTCTCAGCCTGCTCCACCACCAGACTTGGCTGGCCGAAGAGGCCCTCAGGTGAGTAAATGTGCAATTCGGGGTCACCTTCAAAGTGAAAAATGTTTTTAAAACTAAATTAAAAATTCAGATAACTAGAGAGTTGAACAACAAAAGATATAAGATATCGCACTTAGTCATTGCCAATCGAATTATCAAGTAACGAGCCTTAAAAGTGTAATTCGGGGTCACCATGAAGATATAAATTGTACCTTTATTAAAATAAAAAAAAAACAGATAACTAGAGAATTTAACCGCAACATTTAAAACAAGTGATATTTTAATATAACCCACTGATTTGTCAAATTACTGGACTTATGAGTGAAATTCTGGGTCACCTTGAAATTAAAAAGTGTTAAAATATTAAAATGAGAAATGCAGATAACTGGAGAATATCAAGACAAAGCTTAGAAGTTATGCCACTTTGACAAAGCAGACCGAATTTCTCAGTATACGCTCTTTATAAGTGCAAATCGGGGTCACCTTTTACTGATATCCAGCATTAAAAGCATTAAAAACCACTTATAAGTCGGAGTACTAATCATTTTCGCTACCCCTTAGGACACGTGGCCTGCTGACGGCGCCCAAGGACTTTCCGCAACGCTTCACGACCCTCAGCGACCTGCTGACCAAGGACTACCAGTCGGTTCAGCCGACGGTCACGGCAACGGCGACGGCAACGGCAACCACCGCCTCCTCCTCGGCCTCCACCAGTCGGAACTCGTCGAGCGACAACCAGTACAAACACGCACAGCAACCGCAGCAACCTCAAGCGGGTGGCAATGGGGCTGGGGGTCAGACCTTCAACCTCCGCTACCCCACGCCCACCGCCTTCTACCAGCAGCAGCAGCAGCAGCAGCAGCAGGGGAAGGGTCATGGTCAGGCGCCCAAGTCATCGCCCTCGCCGCAGCAAATGGCCACCAGCTCCACGCAGGCCATGTCCAACGATTCCGGCGAGGAGAGCTGCAAGCGCAGCTCGGCGGACAGCGACGAGGTGACCATCATGGAGCTGCCCGGCGAGCGGAGTGCCCAGCTGTACAAGGAGTCCCTGGAGCAGCTGCTGCAGCGCCAGCGACGCACTCCCATTTCGGGATCGGTTTCGGGATCGGTTTCGGGATCAGGAGCAGGCAGTGTGATTGTCGATGCCGCCGGCCTGAGGCAGTACACCCAACTTCTGTTGGCCGGGGCGGCCGGCAGTGGGGAGCTCAAGGAGAAGAGCTCCTCCTCGTCCACCTCCTCCACCCCGCCGCTGCTCACCCAGCAGCTCAGCCAGATGCTGAAGAGTCCCTCGGACACCTGCTCCTCGCTGTTCAGCACGGGCGCAGGATCGGCCGGCGTCACCGGCGGCGGCGGAGGTGGTGAGACCATCGAGGAGGAGACCCGCTGCGTCGTGTGCAACGCCCACTTCCCGAATGTCTGGCTGCTGGAGCAGCACGCCGCCCTGCAGCACCCCCACGTGGGTCCCGGCGAGGAGAAGCCCTTCATCTGCGAGCAGTGCGGCCAGTCGTACCGCTACCGCAGCGCCTACGCCAAGCACAAGGAGCAGAACCACCGGGCCCGCCTGCCCGCCGACAAGCTCTTCACCTGCGACGTCTGCGGCATGCAGTTCCGCTACCTGAAGAGCTTCAAGAAGCACCGCCTCAACCACGCCCTCGAGCGGCTGCACGGCAAGAAGAGCGTGGGCGTCGTAGGGCGACTGGGTGGAGGATCAGCTGGAGGCGTCGGAGCAGCTCCACCCACCTCCGCCTGTTCCGCCTCCGGGTCCTCGGTAGACCAGGATGTGGTGACCAGCTCCCAGGAGCCCATGCTCGCCGACGAGGGCGAGGATCTGCGGGTGAATGTCAAAAGAGAGGTGGGCGGCGGAACCACCACCTCCTCCGATGATCAGCTGGCCGGCGAGGCGCGCGGCAACGACATCGAGGAGCACGAACAGGACAACACCGTCGACTCCGCGGGCATCACGATGCTCTACCAGGACAACAACTCCTCGGCCTCGGCCTCCACCAGCGCCACCGAGCCGAACATCAGCAGCTCCGACGGCATTCATAGTACAAACAAGCGGGTGAGTCTAAAATGGGAGCTATAATCCATTATCATCTTGGAAAATCCCTATAACTTTTTAAAAAAGTAGTGGAAAATAACTGAAATTTATTTCAAGTTACATAGAACAGTTAATTGATGAGTAATATAAAATATAATACAAAATTACAAGATATTTATTTATATTTAAAAAATAAAGCTTCAAAAATTATATCACCTCTACCTCTCAAAAGATTTAGAACAGTTTTTTTTGTTAAATAAAAATATATAAATAATATATATCATACAATATTGGACTACACTGAACAAGAAATGGTAGAGTAAAAATAAGTATATTTACATTGAATGCCAAGATTCGTATATTTAAATATTTAAATGATACCTATACAAAAACGTAAATATTTAATACAAAACTTAATACATATATTAAATTGACGATTTAATTGGATAATATTTCAGGAAAAATATGCTTTAGATATTTAGTTTAAACATATTACGGCATAAAGAAAAATAATTTTATATTAAAATGCAAGTCTAAAATCTTAAAATAAACTGTAATGATTAAATTTAATATTTTCATATTTAAAATTAATAAAAGATGCTTTAAAAAAGCGTATTAAAAGTACCCTTTCTATCAGTGTACGAAAATGCATTTCCCACAATAAAAAATTCCTCTTTTAAGAATAATAAATATATAAATTCCCGACCAACTTGTCTTGCAGTCGCGCCTGCACCACTTGGAAACGGATCCCTCCTACCCACACCACCACCACCACCACCACCATCACCATCAGCACCACCACAACCCGCAGTCGCAGCTGCCGGGCCACTTGGGCCACGTCTCACTGCCGCTGGTGGCCACCTCGGTTGCCGGCTCCTCCTCCTCGGCGGCTGCCGCTGCCGCTGTGGCCGCTGCCACCGCAGCTGCCGCCCACTCGCAGGTGAATTCGGGCGGCGCCGGAAGCGGAAGCGGGGCGACCGGAAGCGGCGTCTCCGGCGGATCGGCCGGCGGTTCCTCCTCCACGGGAGGCGGCGGAGGTGGCGGCGGCGGCATCAGTTCACTCAGCTCGCTAACCTCGCTGATCAACGCCGAGCGCATTCCGAACGAGCAGTTCCTGGGACTTAATCCCCAGGAGGCCTCCATTCTCAACTTCTTGCGCGTCGATGCCGCCGAGCGACAGCGGGACAAGCGGTGAGTTTACATCTGGTCTATATTGAAAAGGAATTTAAAACCGCACTGCGTAGAGTGATTTTACTAAATATTACAGATTTGGGACCTTTGCACTATAGTAAGAATAGTTTTATATATTAGTAGATTATAAATTAAAAATTTTGAGGAAAAGGAGTTCTAGATCTAGTAATTTTTTTAAAAAATTCATTCGTGCTATCAAGGAAAAGTTAACTATACTTATTTTTATACATATCTGTAAAATACTCAATTAAAATGTAAAAAATATTATTATTTTTATTTTATTTATTTTTTTATTTAATATAAATAATATTTTATTAAACTTAAACGTATTAACTTAAATTATGACCTATTGTTACAATAAATAATGATAAATTCTGTACTCCTTTTCCATTCACTATACTTTTGTATACATCTGTAAAATACCTAAATAAAATTTTAAAAATATTCAAATGTTAAATAATACTTGAATACAATTTTTAATAATATTCCTATAATAAATAGTGACTAATTCTGTAAACCTCTTCCATTTCAGGCCTGCCACCTCGCGATTCGCGTGCCCCTTCTGCGGCAAGTGCGTCCGCTCCAAGGAGAACCTGAAGCTGCACGTGCGCAAGCACACCGGGGAGCGGCCATTCGTGTGCCTCTTCTGCGGCAGGGCCTTTGGGGGCAAGTCTGACCTGACGCGCCACCTGAGGATCCACACCGGGGAGCGGCCGTACCACTGCGAGTCCTGCGGCAAGTGCTTCGCGCGGGCGGACTACCTGTCGAAGCACCTGACCACCCACATCCACAATGCGCCGCGCTGAGATGAGGCGCGTAGGAGACGGCTCCTACGCAGATAAGGAACCAGCTCCAGGATCAGCCACACCACACACTCATACACATACACACTGAATACAGGATATAACGAAGGCCTATGTATAAATTATTACCTATTATTACCAGAAGCTCTGCGTGATTAGATCGATGTAAACACACACTTTTGTCGCAAGAGTTAGGAGCTTTTTGTGTTTTTTTTTTTTTTTTTGGTGCAAGCTAGTGAAAAACAAAATTACGGGCAACTAATTAGCACGGGTATTAAAGTGTTTAAGATTCTGAATATACACCTATCTCTCTAAATATATAAATACGTGTGAGTAAGGATTACGATTTGCGATCTACGATTATAATTATTCGTACATCGTAGTAGCACAAGATTACGTTGCTGAATCAGAGGAGGAACGAAATGCGATTTGCGATTTGGTTCTGTAAGACAACTTATTTTATATTTGTAACACGTGAAACGAAGCGAAGCGAAACGAAACAGCCACAAACAAATAGCAACAAACAAAATAGTCTGTATTTTCTACCGAAACAAAACAAAGGAGGTGTGGTACCTCAGATCTGCCGTTGATATACACAATAGATAAAATATATTTAATTTTACACCGATCTATAGAAGCTAAACTAGCAACAATTTGTACAAACAAACAAACAAACAAATAAGCGAGAGGAAACTAACTTTGCAAGAATCAATGCAATAACTGAGAAAACTCTGTTACCTACCACAGAAAACAATAAGCTAATTGGGATTTTAGTTAATTGTAGTGCAGCTGTAGCAACTGTACTAAAACTAAGCCAACCACTAAATGCAAAACAATGTTTCAACGACGCAAGCATTATTTATTCTTCGGTTGACCGATACATATATGTTCATGAGGGAGTCGAAGTTGGTTTATAGGATTATTGTAGCGCTAGGAGATACGAATGGGATCTACCACCGTCAATAGTTTAATTTATATACAAAGCAAAGCAAAGCAAGGCAAAAGAAACATAAAACTAAAAATCAAACATAGCAACAATTAACAATTACCAATAGCAATTACAATTAAAACTGCAACTGCAACTACAACAACACAAAACTAACTGTGATCACAACAAGAAAACAACATTGAAGTTTTAACTAACCTACAAACTACAAACAAGCTGAACAGGCAAGAATAGTTTATAGCGATGGCAACCATGGCAAGCAATAGAGAAATTGGACGGTGATGGCAACCCTGCTGCCGCACCGTTCGTCCGCTGGAAACGAAATGTGCAATTAAACAATAAAAACAATAAAATAGGGAAAGCCCATAGGTCAAATATGATTTCTCAACCGATATTTGCTTCATTTAACTTAGTTCAACACACACACAAAAACACACAGATAAAAATGGAAAACAACCTTGAACCAAGAACATCGAATTAAACTGTAAATGAAAATCCAAAAACCCAAATACCCAAAAACCGAAAGGAGAAAAATTCAAATCGCGTAGAAGGGGATTAGAATGAATAGTTTTTTTGTATTAACTAAATGTCTAACGCACTAAGGAGAATAATTGCCGTACCAAAAATGTGGAAAGTAAAACAAAAAACAAAAAATGAGAACAAATCAAAGTAAAGTGGTAGAAGTAAAGTAAATGAAAACTTTCACTGTGCCAAAAAGTTTCAAGTACCTCATAATTTAACTAAATATTAAAGAGAAGCAACTAACCACACCGAAAACAGCCCACAAAATCCACGAGCAGTCCACACACACACGATCCACGATCCACAAGCCCCAAAAAAACATATATATCCCGTAACGAAATGAGTCTAGACAGTAATTGTCAAACCGTATATTACATAGAAGCTGAAAGCTGAAAGCGAAGCGTTAACTAATCCTAATTCACCAACCGGAGAGGGCTAGAGAATAGTTAGTTAGATAGAGATAGAGCTACCGATAGAGATAGAGACGGAGATAGTGACAGAGAGAGAGATGGCGAGAAAGGAAGGGAAAGAAAAGGAGTCAGCGCATAAGGGAGATCTACCTACCATCCACCGGGGATCCACATATCATACGATATACAAAGAGATCCCCGACTTTCGGTTATTTTTTGTAATTTATTTATTCTCCAGCAACACAGTTCTGCCTAACTTTTTTCTCTCCAAACTTAAGTGTTCAACTTTAGCGAATATATATTTTGCCTGCAAATGTATGCCTATGTTATGTGATAGTTTAACTAATTAACTGCACCCCTGAGTTATTTTGCCCAACTATATTCTATATTACGTTAGTTGTAAAGAAAAGACAAGAAATCATTTTATTTTCTCGATACGTTAGTTTTTCATTTTCGATTGTGTCAGTATGTGAACCGTCAAAGATCAGGGCCTCTAGCAAATGTTATAGTTTTAGTTCATTATTATTATTATTAATCTGATGTGAATTTTTGAGTGGAACTAATTATAGATTTTAAACTTCTTTCGGTTCTCGATTTCTCTGTTCTTTAATTACTATTTATTTCCTAACAACATGCAACTGCAACAACAAACAAAATCAACACTGCCTTTTGTAAACACACAAAAACCAGGAAGTATAATGCAAAATTTGTAATCGTACTATTTTAAGTTACTCTTTTTTTACCATACCTATTTTACCTAATTTTTGTATGTAAACATCACAAATGCCGAAATCTTTTTCAAACAAAACTCTGTTTAATTCTTATTTTTATTTTAATTATTATTTTTTTCAAGCTCTAAATTAAGTTTTTAAGCACAACAACAACAATTAGCTGTGAGCTGTGTATGTGAATTAATTATTTGTGTAATTATTATTACAGTTATGACACTCTTAATTATTATCAATTTTTTGGAAACACTTATTATTTTGGAATTATTATTTGATAGTATTTATTAATAAAGTTTTTTGCAATGAACACTCTTTGTTTGACCATCTTGGGCACATCCGTCGATACGAAACCATCCGTCGATTTTCACCCCTCTGTTAATGGTTAACCCATTATATTTTGTGTTTATAGTTGAAAATGCGCCTTAAAAGAATTTTAGGAAACTAAGGTAAGAAGAGTGGAGAAGCAAAACAAAATGATACTCCATTTCGGTAAGATGCAAAACACAAAGAAAAAAAATGTAATTTAGGAACCCAAAAAGGAAAGCAATATTAACAAAATTAAAGAAAAACATAAAATTAAAGTAATTTTTTCTTAGGTGTGTGTGCAAAGTAAATGTTGATAAAAAGAAAAACAAAATTTAAAAACGAAAAACGAAAAAAAACTATAAGATACAAAATAATCACCATCAAAATTAAGGCGAAATTTAATTGAATAGAGAGTATTGGAATTTTTTTGTGAGCGTGCTAAGCAGAGAGGAGCAAAATTGATTTTAAGCCAAAAATTGGAGGGATTCAAGACTCTTATTTCGTATATACATACATATACCATATATTACAAATTTACCACGTAGGCAGTTTTTTTAAGGCATTGACAACATGCAGGAAAATACGTGTAACAGAAAATTACATTACAAAATTCAACAACGAAAACTTTTGGCATTAACAATTAATGCATTTTTAAATACAATATTTATTGATATACCTAGACTTAAAGCCCAGCAGCAACAACCAGGCAGAAGAGGAAGAGGAAGTAAAATCCAAATAAGACGGAAACGGAAATGAAAAAGGGAAAAAAGAAGGAGAAAGAGAAAGGAATCCAAATATTATACATAGAATATATCTATATACAGATACATAAATGTACACGTGGTTTTCGGTGTCTATTACTTATATAAATAGATATATATACATTATATACATACATTATATTATACACATGACGTGCATATTTTGAAACAAAGAAAAAACAAGAAAACAAAAACCCACAAAAGCCCAAAAAAAGTAAATATAAATGTTGTTCATTTGACTAATACGCGAAAGCAACTCAACCAAACAAAAACTATATATACTAGCATATATAAAAACTAATGGTATTCCACTCCCACACGTACACTCACCACCAGGGGCACCCGAATCGGGGGCAGTTATAGATCTTGGGTTTACCCCCACCAAAACTCACCATTTTTGAATCTTTAATTTACTATATTATTTCGATCCTTAAATTGTATGATATTTATCTTGCCGAAATTAGCATAATTAATCAGAAAAGGTCCTTCTATTTCAAGCTTTATCATTATCAGTCACTTGATCTTGGGTGCCCCCAAATCATTTAGCAAATACATGAAAGTTTTAATGTAATAATACAATTTAACAAAATAAAACTACGATTTCATGAAATTAAGACAATTTCGAGGTTTCACTTGCAAAAAAAGAAAGGCATAACCATATAACAATGTTCTATATTGTAGTCAAAATCATTTTAATCCGTTTTGGTTTTGGTTAAACTAATAAAAGAGAATTGGGTTCTGATGAAAAACCATTTTAACTTTTCGAAAACCAATTAAATTGTTAACAGCAACTAACTCATGTATGTAAATACATTAAATGGATACCATCTCGAAAACAAAACCAACAAAATATACAAAAATCAAAAACGAATGCAAAACCAAAAACAAAAACAAAAGAAGCATAATAAACATAAAATGTAGTACATGCAATATATTTTTCGGTGTTAGGCGTCTTTTTGAGATTTTTACAGAATACCAAATACCAAACAAAAGTCCCTCAAATAAAATCTATAAAGTATAATATTTCATTGTTGATGTTGTGAGCAAACTAAAGTAAAACTAAACTAAAGCAAACTAAAGTAAATTGTATTTATTTCTCCTACTCTCTCAACAGTCTCTCTCACCTAAGCTCTAATCTTTAGCTGTCGTGTCTCTTTAAATATTTATAGGGGTTTACATAGGTCTTAGGAGACGCGGAAACGGAGGAAAATGTTTCAAACATTTTTTTTTATATACATAAACAAGAGATTTGGTGTCTACAAATTATACGAAACTTAAGGAAACATTTTTAGATCAAATTCGAGTGGTTAAACGAAAAAAAGAAAGGATG